TATGCCATATGGTTTTGGTCCAGTGACTCTTTAGATCACATATTCTCACACTATTATTATCACTATTATCTCACAGTAATTATTTCTATTACTGGTTGAGTTGGAGAAGAGTTGAATTGGTTATGTAGGGGGAGAATTTTGTGCAATCTCCCAAATCCATCTGTAATACTCTTAAAAAAAACATAAAGTGGGATGCTGGAATTGGAAAGACAAATTCAAATTGGACTTTAAATGATCATTTCCTGCTTCCAGGAAAGTTTACCTGCATTGAGGTCAAGTTTCACCTGGAACGTCAAATGGGATATTATTTGATCCAGATGTACATCCCCAGCCTGCTGATAGTCATTTTGTCCTGGGTCTCCTTTTGGATAAACATGGATGCAGCCCCTGCCAGGGTTGCACTGGGCATCACTACAGTCTTAACGATGACTACCCAGAGTTCAGGTTCCAGGGCATCTCTGCCAAAGGTAAGAAATTTCCTCACTTAACAAGAGATGACCTGAGAGGTTCACCAAAGACCTTGTGGGCTGGAGAATTCTGTGAAGACAGAAACATTTGCCATCCTACGGCACTGTTGTAGATGCAAGTGTAATAAGAGAACAAAAGGCTGAGTTTGAGAGAACCAGGGATCTGTGGACATGGGGAACCCTCAATATAATTGAGGGAAAAGGGGAATTGGGGGATTTAGAGAGAAGAGGAATGAGTGGAGGCAGAACCATGGCTCAGGAATTCTAAGAAGCCCTTAAGTGCTTTTTTTGACCTCAGTTGTTTATGAGCCATGAAGCTTGCAGGAATTGGAGTAAGATTGATGCAATTTATGCTGTATTGTCAAGTATTTATTAGTGAGGCTACTGCAATTCACATGCTCAGTCAAGTCATTTACAGTAATAGAAGTTTGAATTAGGCTCCTGGAAATTTATACAGAAAAGCCATATCAATGAATATATGTAAGAAATTAATGTACAACATTAGGTTCCAGCAAATCAGATACATGAATCTTTGCTATGCCTTAGTTTTCTTTAATGGTTGATATGCTACTATTTTCTAGTAACACAGTTATCTAGAGAAGAAACAGTGGAGTCACCTAAGATGGTGAAAATTCCAAGAACTGTGACAGGGGGACAGACGAGTGTGGGGTGGATATCAAGGACACATAGACATTTTGTAGCACCTCAAATAATAACCCATAAGTGGCTGTGTAATCTATTTTTATGTAAGACAGGCCCTCTGTACTTGTAAATATTGCTTAAGCAAGTAATGATAAATGTCCTGCTTCTGAAATACCCCAGCACCCCACAAGTGTGCCTGCGTGTGCTTTCTCCTTTCACTAAGTACATTGAGCCATTGGCTTCAATTTTCCAGGAATGTGAGTTCAATTTAGCATCCAGTGTACACCATTTCATACTGGTTGAGCCATCTCTCCAAAACCCAGTTCCAGAAAATAATTGAGATGTAATCCTGTATTTTTGCTGGCTTAAGCTTCTGTTTGATTGTACGGTATTTGGCATGATGAAAAATGTTAGATCATCTTTCACATTATCTCCTATGCCATGTGCAGGAGGTCTGTGGCTATAATAGAGGTGGGCTGGATACTGGGGAAATAGTTATACAACTTATTAAGTCCCATGACTCCAAAGATAAATATTAGGTTTTGTATGTTAATAGAGGAAGAAATAGAGCCATCTCTGATACTTTATCTTCTAGAATTACAAATAGTATATGTACCTATGTCACATTTATATTGGAATACAGATGTCAGTAATACTAATGGCTTTCTTCAGCTATTTAATCACAGATCAGTTTTACCCAATAGTAATTCTAATCCACTTTGTACCCTTCCCAAACAGGTTAATTTGCTAATTTCTCATTAGTTATTAGTTATTGATATCACTGCCTACCATGCCATAAAACCTCAGGATGCCCAAACATAGATTCTATAATTTCATAGGCAGCTAAAATACTGGTGCCAAATTGTGAGCAGATAATGTCAAAATATAAGACATTTAGCCTCCAAACACTCATTGCTATGAAAAGAGTAGTCATATGTTTTCAAAATGGGAACTTGAGTTTTTATAAATTTGTTATTCATTCTATGAAGCTGTTATGATTCTGCATCAACGGTCAAAACTATTGCTAAATAAATGGGCAGTGATCAGTAATCTTTGTATGTAGAAGCAATCAGGAACTCAAATAAACCAAAAGAGTGTATAATCAAACATCATTTTATACTTGGCTTTGAACTCATAGTGGTTATCCTTTTACCTACTAGCAGGTTTATCTTCCTACATGCACTTTTCTTAGGCTATTATTAAACATGGTTGGCTCTAAACTGACCATGAGGAGATGTGACTCACATGAATGATAGTCAGAAACCAAAATGGGATAAAAAGTGAGTCTTGGAAAATAAAGAATTGATCATACACTTACTTAAACATATACATATATATAAATACTCAATTTACAGACACTGCAATCCCTGACCGGATGCTCTACCATGCTGATTGTACTGTTGCTGTTGTACTGCAATGCGCTGTATAGAGTATACATGCACATTGTACTTTAAAAGTAAAACATGCTTGCTATAGAAAAGATAGAAAACACAGAAATCATTAATGTTAACCATCTAGTAAGTAACTATTTTTAAGACACTGATGTATTTCCTTCCACTCTTTTTGCTACGTGCATTTGTGTGCAAACTCACTTACATGCACACACAGAAAATTGAGATCAAACTTTTATACAGTTCTAGACTGTCATTTCCTATGACATGAAAAATCTATTTTGAGCATAATGACTTAATGATAGTCTATCTGCTATATTAGTCACCATTTATTTTACCTCTTGGTTATTTAGGGTTTTCTTTTTTGCTTTTATATGTATGATCATTATAAATACATTTGTATATGAGTGTTTGTATCTCACTGTGTTCTAGAAAACATATGTATAGCTTTTAAAAATTTTTACATTTGCAATAAGAAAAAAGAAGGAACTGAGGATGACTAGACTGAGTGGGGGAAGATCTATGAGATGCTTGATGGGATGTATGTTCCATGCAGGCAAGAATTTTATCTTGTTCACTGTGTTAACTACAACAATCAAGAATAGTATGTGGCTTAGACTAGATGATCAGTGAATCCTCATTGAATATATAAATAAATTAATGAACAGCCATGTTTCCCCATATGAGACCATGTAGAAGATAAAATAGACTTGAAGCAGAATCTATGGGTAAAAGTTTTACTGAAAAATACTAGAGTTTTAATATACAGAAGAATTTTATAATAATATGACATATACTATAAAAGAATAGAATTTTTCTAAAGGATTATGTCCCCTTTTCCAGAAGTTCTCAAGCAGACTTTGGGAAGTTAAGAACACATGAATAAAGATATTTTTTGAAATATAGGCAGGCCTGAATCTAAATCTTCAAGCTTTCATTTCATTCAGCCTTTCTAAGTTTGAGAGTTTCTAAAATGAGAACATTATTATCTACCCCTTTCAAAAATTAAATGAGGATGAGATGAGGCACTACCCATATAAATTGTTTAGCCAAGTTTTTGTACATGGTAGGCACGCAACTCATTCTGGTTATTTTTGTCGTTAGTGTTCCTTGTCTATAACATAGTAAAAAAGACTGCTCAATGAGATGGGAGGTTATATTAAAGACTCATAAAGGGCATTATTAATAGAATATGCCATGTTCTTTGGATGGCCCATTATTTGGTTACAGTAGTCCTGTTAATGAGATAAACCAAAGCTTAGCATACGCATATGTGTATACAATTGGCCTTCCATATCCACAGGTTCTACATCCACAGATTCAACCAACCATGGATAAAAATATTTAAAAAAAACAATAAAATAATAATAAAACAAAAATAATACAAATAAAAAATGATACAACGTAACAACCATTTATATAGCATTTACATTGTGTTAGGTAGTATAAGTAATCTAGAGATGACTTAAAGCATAGAGGAGGATGTGCCTAGGTTATATATGACCATCATTTTATATAAGGGACTTGAGTATCCACAGATTTTAGTACCCACAAGTGTCCTGAAACCAATTCCCCTCAGATACTGAGGGACAGCTATATATGTATGCATGTAAACACATGTGTATGTTTTTCGTAGATAGACAGTTTATTGGATGGGTTAAGCTCTAGAGGGTCTAAATAAGCGATGTCTCTATTTTTCTCCAATCACTGCCATTAAACATCCTTACTAGGCTCTGTCCTCCTTGCCCCTGGAGGACATATCAGGAGGATTCCATAGATTCTCAGTCACCACATGCCATGCCGTTAGACCCAGAAGGCACAAACATTTATTTTATAATTTAATAGACAATTAAAGTATTGGTGACAAATACTTTTATAAGACTTTTAAGAAATCATCTAGTCTAAAACAAGACTTCAGTCTCACACACAATTCAAAGTTCTTTTCCTCCCTTGCCCCCAGCTCAGGCCTGACTTTTGTCTTGAAGATGTGCGGTGAGGTGGAGCAAATTATCTGTTCCTTCACAGTGCCTCCTTGTGTTTCCAATTTCCCTCCTACTCCTGTTGCTGACTTTATCATTGTTGAGGGCTGAGGGTGAAGGAGAGGATGGATCAAAGTTGCATGTGACCGACACTGTTATATTCTAACTATTGGTGCCTTCTCTAATGGCAAGCCTCTAAGTGCTGGATTTCTTATGAGTTGAACTTGAATTCTTTGGAGTTTCCAGGGGATCCAACATACTATACCATTTCTGGATGAATAATGTATTCTCTGGCTGATGTCTTAAAATCTTTTCTTAGCTATCACCTCCTAGCAGCGTATTCCATACAACTTCTTACTCCCCTTACTCGAGTTAGACAGCCCTCTTGGTTAACATGTTTTCCAGATGGTTCACATTTGACTATCTTCCACACCATTTACTTGGTCCACTAAGAACTTGTGCATTATTGCCTTGCTAAATGGTGGAAATACAATTTAACCAACTGCTAACCCTTCTGCTTTCACCCCACCATCTTGGGTATTCCAGCTAACCTATTGCCTTCAGAATTTATCCAGGTAAGAAACAGCCATTGGCATTTATATTTTCATACAAAAACCAAACTACTGAGGATGCATAAGAGGTTCTCTTAAGAACTATTTTACTCTTTAATCCAGGAGCAACTTGCTGGAATTTCAGCAGCTCAGCAAATACATGTTATGTGGAGGAGATGCCAGTCTCTTCTCTTGTGGGGGTTGGGAATGAACCACCTTCTCTCATCTTTAGGAGAGTAGAGAGGATGCCACAGCACTGTCAATATCTCCAAATTCCATTACTTCAATTAATTCCTTTCAAATGTCTGTTTTCTATAATAATATAGGGCATTGGATACAGTGGTCTCTAGACAACGTTTACTCTCTTCTAGAAAGTCCTGCATCCTGCATGCATATGTGTAGAGTCTCTCTTTGGTGTAGGACTTCAGTAGAAATTC